TGAATGAACCATTTTGATTCATTGCTACTCAATTTTTGAATTACCTTACACCCTAAAAAAAGCAAGCGCTATATGTAAGTTCTTCAAAAAATAAACCAAGAAGGAACATGACTTCTTTTTCATTATTAACGAAATATATTAAAAAATTAATACGTCTGTCTTTATGCATTTTCACCCTGATATCTTTTGACGCTAACAGAAAGGGGTGCACTTAAAAATTAAAAGTCTCGTCCAAAGTAGAATGAAGTTAACGTCTTTGAGAGAACCTGATCGCGCCTTCATATCCGTAGCTGTGCAAGTTGCCGTATAGTCCAGGCGCCTGGTAAGTCTACCTGGAATTTTGGGTACACAGCGATTTTTTTGGCCTACTTTATGTTTTTTGGGTCGCTGAATCCGAATCTGAAGTTTCCGCACGCGTATCTGGTGAGCATTTTCCGCTATTTTGAAAAAATGGCCTAAAAAGGCCTTTTTTTGCGGTTTTTTCGATATAGCGGCTACGGATGAGGAAAAGTCCCGGATTTAGCTAATGTTTTGAATAGCTGACATAATTTGGAAGAAAATGGTGTATACATATGTTAGGTTTGCTTAAAAATTGAGGAAGATACAGCATCGTGAACATCGCGCCTATTCACGTTTTCGCGGCGCACCCGTCAACGCGCGATCCGGCTCGCCGCGGTCAGCCAAGTTCCGAAGCGTTCTAAAGTTCCGAAATCCGAGGTTCCTCAATTTTTGAGCAAACCTAGCATATTCATATACCATTTTCTTCCAAATTTTGTCAGCTATTCAAAACATTAGCTAAATCCGGGACTTTTCCTCATCCGTAGCCGCTATATCAAAAAAACCGCAAAAAAAGGCCTTTTTAGGCCATTTTTTCAAAATAGCGGAAAATGCTCACCAGATACGCGTGCGGAAACTTCAGATTCGGATTCAGCGACCCAAAAAACATAAAGTAAGCCAAAAAAATCGCTGTGTACCCAAAATTCCAGGTAGCCTCATTTTTAGCTACCAGGCGTCTGGACTAGTATCATATTGTTTAGATGGGAGCATTCACCATTTTATCGTGTAATTAAAAAATCTCTGGGTCATATTTCCTAGATCTGGGAAGAACAGACTCATTAAGGAACCGTCACCGCCGTTTTTGTCGACAACCGCATACCGGTAGAACGCAGGGGCGGACTGGCAGTCAAAAAGCTAGGAGGCGACCTAGATTTGGGGGTCCCTCCTGTCGTTCGGGGGCCCCTCCCCCCGGTAAATTTTGAAAATTTCACACATTTTAAACGCAATTTTAAGCCTTTTCGGAGTCAAATTCAAGAGTTTTTGAACTTCAAAATACCCCGTTCTTAGGATTCTTCGGGGGCCCGCGCCCTCTCATTATTTCTGGGGCCCCAGGAGCACACTAGATTTTCCTATATATTCTGTATTATAAGCTCTAGGCGACCTTGTATGTTACTTATAGAGACAAATTTTCAAGGATTCTGAGGCCTTGTAGTGACTGAAAAGGATAGGACAATTGCAACATCACGGGAAAAAAACGATGACTCGAAAAAAATCGCCGCGGGGGCTCCTTCGGGGCTTCCGCGGCAAATTGTTAGGAGGCAATCGCCTCTCCGCCCCTGGTAGAACGGTGGAACGAACTTTGACAATGAGGATTTAGGGGGCAAGAGAGCGCATTGTAATGATCATGATGTGCGTTCTGTCTTAACTGCAGTTTTGAGAACTCTCCTAATCTCGCTCCTTTTTGAAACTTTGATTTTGCCTTTTTAATCCCTCCTTTAAACCTTGGAATGAGAAAGTTCTGTCTGGTTTATCATAGAACTCAGTGAATACTTGGTCTCCCTCATTATTTTAAAATGTTAGAAATGCATGGAAAAATTCTATCAGTGCTTCTATTAAAAGAATGTTATGACTCTAGTTCTTAGGTATCAATCAATAGGTATTTGCTCAACTGGTCTATTGCACGCAAGAGATAAAGCCGTGAAAATAGTCTTTGTAGGTGTAAAATGGTACGAAAACACGATGGCAACATCGAAATGTCTGAAATCTACTCCTTTTGGCGCAATTTGCGTTGTTTTGAACACACATTTTCAAATTTCCAGCGTTTAAGGGCAGTTTCTAGCCACCGCACCGTATCGGGCAACGAGCAACGGCTTCTTGTGGTTAACGGGAACTGACGATTATACACACAGATAATATTTATTAACATTACCCGCAGATCGATGAAATTGAGAGATGATGTGCGTGGGCGACTGCGCGTGCACCATTATTAAAGATCACATTTCACTTTTAAGGTGATTCGATGGACGCCATATTTTGTGTCAGAACGGCATGCGATATATCGCATCAATTGGTTCCATATTTTCAGCTACTCGTCATTTTTCTCCTATTTTGAGATCGCAATTCTGTTGTCAGGAGTCTAAAGCACTCACCAATTTTAACAAAGAAATTCAACGTAATAAAGGCGTGGTTTTTTCAGAGAGAAAATATCGCATTCGAGTGCATAGTTTCGATATCAGCATCGAATGCGATGTTTTCTCTCTGAAAAAACCACGCCTTTATTAAGTTGAATTTCTTTGTTAAAATTAGTAAGTGAGTGCTTTAGACTCCTGACAATAGGAGTGCGATCTCAAAATAGGAGAAAAATGACGAGTAGCTGAAAATATGGAACCAATTGATGCGATATATCGCATGCCGTTCTGACACGAAATATGGCGTCCATCGAATCACCTTAAACAAAACAAATTAAAATCAGCAACGAATCGACAACTACTGACATTTACCGGCAACCACAGAGGCAGGCCGAAGTTGTCGTTTGCTCGTTTCCGGTGACGAGAAAAGTGCCCCCAGACTCAGGGCCGGATTTAGCTTTTTGCCGCCCCTGGGCAAGCTACATTTTGCCGCCCCTGGGTCTGCAATATTTCGCCACTTTATTGTCAACAGTATCCCCTCCTCCCCCTCCCCCTCTCCGCACTCCCAACTTCCCACGCCATCCCATCTTGCCCCCCCCCTCGTGCGCCGCCTGGGCGCGTGCGCGTAGCTGCTTCAAAATGCGCCGCGAATACCTATATAAAATGGAATGGATGGATGAGACAAAAATAAAATGTGGAGACAAAGTTGAAGCTAGGGTAGCTCAATGTATTAGTTGCAATGTATTTTCGGAAGATCAGGTTAAAAAGTTTTTCTCCGGGTTTTCAGTTTAGCAAAGCTGTCAACCAGAGCATCAACGTCTAAATTGATTATCAAGTCTGCCTCGATGTTTAAAATTGCCGTATTGTTTAGTATCACTCCAACGAACGATCATCCTAGCGCTCAAGGCCGGACCTAAGGGGCGGCAGCTTTGCCGCTCCCGTCAAGCGTCAACTCCCTTCCTTCATACATTTTGCCGCTCATCTTTTCACTTCGCTCCGTCTCTGTCTCCATTTTTCCTTTTTTCTCGCTTTAACTTTCAATTAATCCAGTGCCAAAATTTGCCGCCCCTCAAAATTTGCCGCTATGGGCAAGTGCCCCAGTGCCCTATAGGTAAATCCGGCCCTGCCCAGACTAGGCAAATTTGATCAAGAGGTCCCAAATTGCGCAAAAACTGCTCTAAAGAGTGAATTTCAGACTTTTTCCACATGACTGTATTTCTTGCGTGCAACTGACCCATTATGAAAGTCACTATACATAAAAAGCACAATTCTCAACTGCAGCGTTTTTGAATTTGCGTCCCTACTTCATTTTTTTAAGGAAAATTTAACTTAGCTAACTTACTCAATATTTGTGTACACAATTTCTAGAGAATAGTGTTATAATAGCAAAGAAACATCACAAAAAATCAATTAAAATTAAAGTAACTGGTCGTGCGAAAAAAAAGGAAGGGGGAAAAAAGAAAATTGAGGCATTAAGTGATGGCTAGAGGAAATTCTTACTTTCTGATACGCTGAATAATCTATGCATCCTGTAAGTTGATAGGCAATTCAATGAAGTAATAATAAAATTTTTTAGCTTTTGCAAATGAGGTCTTTACTCTAAGGGGATTCGATTCCTAAATTAGCAAAAAGTAAGACAGCTATGGATGAACTATTTATGTGTTAACAGGTAAAGGTACCTATATTTGCAGAGACGAAGAATTGAGTTTTTATTTGATCAATTTCGAGGCAACCCTGACTTTCTATGAAAGAGGGTCATTGGTCGCTTCAAAAGGGAAAAAAATCAACTAGCAAAATACGTGTTTTTTTCAATTTTATCGTCAATATGCACGGTCACATTAAAAAAAAAGAAAAAAAAAAAATCTATGTCTCGTCTCGTTAATAAAATCTTTTCTCATATACGTTGTATATTTTATTCTAGCAATTGAAATTGGACCAACTCTCCCAACCGTGAACATTGAAGCGAAATTGAATTTGTCTCCTAAAACTCAAAGTCCTCCAAGCTCTTAAAACTCAACTTACAAACGAGATACCTATATGAAGCTTTTCAGACAGTCCCACAACTCATGCTATAATGGTTTTCACAGAGAATTTTGTTTTGTTTTGTCATGCAAGGTTCTAGGCCACATTATTATATCCTATGGAGATTGGTTTACACTAATGCCACGGTTCATCTCTCTGTTTCCTGACCTAAAATCCCCAAGTAGCACCGATTGCAATACGTAGCAATTACATCGTCAAAATATTGAAATTCCACTGAGTGTTGTGTATGTTGCCTAGCTCCTGTTCGAAGGGGTCCCATTTATTGAAACTGTATTGCAATAAAATATAAATAAGTTGCAATTTTTCATCGCATTGCATATTCCCTACTTTTCTGACACATGTAGCTCATTTTGTTGATTTTTTAAAATCGGCATGAATCGACCAAATGATGTGAAAATATCGCAATTTAATGGTAAAAAAATTACGGTTTTATTGAAATCAAATTGCAATTTAATTTCAATATTTTCATTGCACTGTGCTACTTGTGGAGTAGCCTATGCTGTAGTTTGACTATCATTCTGAAACGAATTTGTATTCTTTTATCTGTTGCAGCGAGGAAATCCCGATCCGGAACGCCATCATGTACGCCGAGCACAACAAGCTCCCCTCACTTAACTGCCTCATCCGTCGCCTCTTCTTCGTCTTTGACACCAAAAGCATCTCCGTCACTCAATTCAACAGTACCTTTGATGGAACCTCAGTTCGTTCGGCCATTCGAGGACCGATTTCAGTCCTCGCCCACTCCCAAACATTCCTCTCACTCGCCATCCCTAAGTCTATCAAAACCTTCCTGCTATCCCCTCCACTCACCCTCAGTGACAGCAATGAGTGATTCAATGAGTTTAAAAATGAATTCCTCAAACGACGGCTACAAGAATCCAGGTCCTCTTGAACCGGTGTCCTACCTAAACAGTTCCAATTTGTCGTTGAACCACGACTATTACAATAATCTATTGCCGCAGCCACCCCCGCCTCCGCTGCTCAAATCTGATTCTAGGATCCTGCCAGTGCATAGCGGTATAGTTAATAACTCTAGTGTAAGCAGTCTCAGTAGTAGTAATAACGGTGGAAGTATTAGCAATCAATCTCTAGTCAGTAACGATTTGTTACCAATTTCTTCCCTTGCGCCTTGCGTGCCCATTTCATCCGGTTCGCAACCTGTCCCTTTGTATTTGAACAGTCACTCATCTTTAGCCAATGATAAGTCTGAGTTACCTACGTCATCAACCTACCCTTATCTCCTATCTTCCCCCTCGTCGAATCCTTTACTCAATAACAGGATTCATCCCCTTGGTAGTGATCCGTACTACAACTCACCGGTCCTTCAACAAGCCAAGTACCCATACCCTGTGACAACTTCATGTATTTCTTCAACAACTGCCAGCACGAAGCACAAATTGAACGATAGCCTGGCACTGTCGGATCATAAGCCATCCAATTTAAATCACCACAGCAATAGTAATAGTTTCAGTAATAAAGTTTGTAATGCGGGCAATAAACTCAAGCAAAATGCAACAATTAGTATTAGTTCAAATACGCTTAGTAAAGTTAACAGTTCGAGTAAAAAAACCAGTAGCAGTAAAAAATCAAACTCAAATAGTTTTAGTCCGAATAATAAAGTCAATAATGTGATCAGTAATAACAATAGTATTAAAGTCAACAATAATTTATCGTCCAAGTCCATGGATAACTCAAGGCCATCCACCATTATCGGCACAGCTCCCCTCTCGACACCAAAGACGAAACCTCTAGCTCTAGATGTTTCAAATCTCCTGTCCTCTTCGAACAATAATGAGTCCAACTCGAGTCAACCCACCAGTCATGCCGTTGCCGTACCTACTGAAGAAATTACGCCTCTTTCGAGCACATTCACGTCAACGGCTTTTAGCGACCACTCCAATTCAAGCGTAGAATTCATACCTCCTGTGTTCAGCTCACCTGATCTCACCAAAGCTCTCTCTTCCTCCAAAGATGTGCAGTTGACGCCCTCAGCAACTAAAAGTCACACCAATGTAAGTTTGTAATTTTACCTTCAATCCTCACATTTTCATAAAAAAAATTATCTTGCATTTGGACCGCGCGCGACCAGGAAGAAACCAAGCCACATCAGCTATTGCCAAATGCAATCGGGAAATTTAATTATTTACAAGAGAACGTTTGTGCGGATTCATTTGAAAATAGTCAGGAATTTGCTTCATACTATGCAGAAGATTCACTGAAATTGAACACAAATGATTTGTGAAACTTAAAATCTGAACACAAATGATTTGTGTTCAGACAACACAATCTGTACAACCGTTTTCATATAAAACATTAAAGTGCCGGATTAAATTTGGCAATAGCCAATGCAGTTTAAGTTGGTTCCCTTATGCTTAACGCTGTCTATTTATACTTGGAAGTGATGAAGGTTTGTTTCATAAATCTGTTATACCTCTATTGTCAAGAGAAAAGCTCACCTTGAAAAAATACGTATAAAAAGCCAAGATTATGATTAAAACTATTTCAATACTTCGATTGTATCTCGCAAAAAGGAACCAAGAGCATTCCAATGTCGCTAAGATTGTGCAACTTTTTTACCTTGCAAACATAAACGGTCATCTAAACTAGTTTCACCTCTACTCCCAATAAACTATGAATTCAAGACGAAAATTACCGTCGTAAAGTTTACTTTTTGCAAAGAATGTACCTAAGTTGCACAATCCCAGCAACATTGAATTGCTCTTAGTTTCTTTTTGCAAAATGCGATCCAATTGGTTGTTGCTGCAAAAAAAATAGTTTCCCACAACCTGCTATACAATGCTCCAAGTGACCACGTAAGTTGGTCCGAGCACAAACTTTTCGGGAAGAAAGCCTTTCCCCTTCCTGGTTTTTCACTTAATATCCGCCCGAGTTTCGCATATCTTCCGTTTCTCTTCATCGCAGCTTCCATCAAATCGCAATTGCCCGGAAACTAGGACCGCATATCTTATCTGATAAAATCGTTCGCCCTTTAGACCGATTTTGGGGCATTAGGCTAGACTAGTCGACGAGTCAACCGTTGGTCTAATTTCATTACGTGAACGCAGAAGAAAAACAGGGTAAAAAAACACTGATGTATGATCAATTTTCAAAGGACAATTCTGTAATTTCTCCTACAATTTTAAATAGATTAAAACGCGTAATATCCAAAATTTAAGCTCAGATTCAGATTCCTCGTGAAAAACTGCTGCGATTTCATGCATCATATGTTAGAATAGCGTGAAGGAAAGAGGTTTAATGACGTAAAAAAACACTAATGTGTGATCAATTTTCAAGGACAATTCTGTAATTCCTTCTACGATTTTAAATAGATTAAATCGCGTAATATCCCAAATCTAAGCTCAAATTTGGATTTCTCGTGAAAAACTGATGCGATTTCATGCATCAAATGTTAGAATAGCGTGTAGGAAAGAGGTTTAATGACGTAAAAAAACACTAATGTGTGATCAATTTTCAAGGACAATTCAGTAATTTCTTCTACGATTTTAAATAGATTAAATCGCGTAATATCCCAAATCTAAGCTCAAATTCGGATTCCTCGTGAAAAACTGATGCGATTTCATGCATCAAATGTTAGAATAGCGTGTAGGAAAGAGGTTTAATGACGTAAAAAAACACTAATGTGTGATCAATTTTCAAGGACAATTCAGTAATTTCTTCTACGATTTTAAATAGATTAAAACGCGTAATATCCAAAATCTAAGCTCAGATTCGAATTTCTCGTGAAAAATTGATGAGATTTCATGTATCATATGTTAGAATAGCGCGAAGGAAAAAGATTTAACGACGCGTATAGATTCTGTCGTACTACCCGTTTGAAGTACGCCGCCGCCGCCGGTCGCCCGAGTGAAACCGAACGGGGAGGCGCCACTTAGCGCCGGCTCAGCGTTCGGTTTCGTCGCGAGGAATTTCTCACGATAAATTCTTATTCTTCCTCCTCCGCTGACCCACTGAGCACCCATGTTGCCACATTGCATTCATATGCTCGAATCAGTATGTCTACGTTACGTCTCTTTCCTTCACGCTATGCTCGGGTATGATACATGATATCGCATCGATTTTTTACGAGGAATCCGAATCTGAGCTTCGATTTTGGGTATCACGCGTTTTAAGTCAAATTTTCCACATTCGAAAATCCGAAATGACTGACGTGGCTTGAAATGCTATCTCGGCTCCTGTTCGATGGATTTTTCTGAAATTCGGTGTCAGGGTATGATACATGATATCGCATCGATTTTTTACGAGGAATCCGAATCTGAACTCCGATTTTGGGTATCACGCGTTTTAAGTAAAATTTTTCAACTTCAAAAATCCGAAATGACGGACGTGGCTTAAAATGCCATCTCGGCTCCTGTTCGATGGATTCTCCTGGAATTCGGTGTCAGGGTATGATACATGAAATCGCATCGATTTTTTACGAGGAATCCGAACCGAATCTGAGTTTAAATTTTGGGTATCACGCGTTTTAAATCAAAATCTGTCAAATTTCAAAAAATGCAAAATTCTAAAATCCGAAATGACTGAAGTTGCTGAAAATGCTATCTCGGCTCCTGTTCGATGGAATTTTCTGAAATTAGGTGTCAGGTGGTACTTTTGGACGGGAAACTAAAATTTTTAGTCAAATTTTGAAAATCCTCAAATCCAAGATGGCGGACGTGGCCTAAAATGCTATCTTGGCTCCTGTGCGATGGTTTTTTCTGAAACTCGGTGTCTGTAGGTACTTTCCGACGGGAAATTCGAATTTTTAGTCAATTTTTGAAAATTCTCAAATCCAAGATGGCGGACCTGGCTTAAAATGCTATCTTGGTATCTGTTTGTTCGAGTTTCATGAAACTCGGTATCACGGGGTATTTTTCGACGGGAAACTCAAATTTCTGGTCAAATTTCCAAAATTCTCAAATCCAAGATGGCGGACGTGGCCTAAAATGCTATCTCGGCTCCTGTGCGATGGTTTTTTCTGAAACTCGGTGTCTGGAGGTACTTTCCGACGGGAAACTCGAATTTTTAGTCAAATTTTGAAAATTCTCAAATCCAAGATGGCGGACCTGGCTTAAAATGCTATTTTGGTATCTGTTTGTTCGAGTTTCATGAAACTCGGTATCACGGGGTATTTTTCGACGGGAAACTCAAATTTCCAAAATTCTCAAATCCAAGATAGCGGCCGTGGCCGAAAATGCTATATTGGCTCCTGCCGGTTTTTGTGAAAGTTAGTAAATGGGGAATCATTTCCAGTCAAATCTTCATTTGAAAATCATGATGGCTAGAAACCAGAGCATAGTATGGCGGGTTATGAAAAACTATTTCTCGCAGGAACAAGTAACCCGCTTCCTGATAAATAGCAACTTCACACTCATAAGTATAGTGAAGAAATTTTAAGCCGGAATATTTTTTTAACTGATGGTAGGTATTCCATGTGAACTTTGGATGAGGCGCCGGCAAATTATATTCTATTTGTGTTGAATATAAAAATGTAAAAATTCCAAAAAAGAAGAGCCAAGACGGAAAGTGCTGATCATAATGCTTGGCATTCCGACGGAATTTTTTTCTGCTTGAATGCACACATGGTACCTACCATCTAGCACACTCGCAGGGAAATTAGTGGCCTCCGTTAGGTTTGGCTCGAATAGGCAACTAATCTAACTGCCTAGCAAAGCGGAGAGTATCACCCAGATTTTAAGGCACTCTAAGCCGAGGTCGTTCTTTAAAGTTCTTTACCAATGACATCTGATTGCCTGTAACAGCTTTTCTTTAGTCGTGAAGAAAGACACTGTAATGCTAATATTCTCACTTTTCATTTTAAATGCTTTATTTGTGAGTAAGATACAGAGTTTTAATAAAAATGCGACTAAAAAATAGGCTTATTTTTTTAGCAAGTAACTATAAGTGTCCGATGAGGAGAACGACTGGTTTTCTTATTTTTCAGCTCTCTTCATTTGAATTTTCTTGCCTTCAGTGCCAAATTTATTTTTATTAAATTACCTTTCTCTGTTTTACAGAACATTATAAGCCGTTTGGACCAAGCTGAGCGAAAACGACTGAATCCGGAAGCCAACAATGTAGATGAAACAGAGGATTTTTTATCGAATGTATTCTTAACAAAAGGGCCACCGGATAAACTAGATGCTCCTCCACGGAAGCTCAGATTCCTGGCAATATTTGGTCTAACTACTTTAGCAAAACGTAATGGTAAGTTGGAGTTTTACTCACATCTTAAAAATCAATAATGCAGATACCACCAATGGAGTCGCAACATAAGGCCTTGTTGAGTCCAAAACCAACGGATTTAGCTGAGCAAATAACATTATTACCTGTCACTTTTTCTAAAACTTCCAAAATTTAGCGTTACGTTTTTAGGTAGGTGGGTAGTTTTATCAAACCCATCAATTGTAATTTATTGCTACATGATTGCTCTTTTTTGAATGCCAATTTTCAGGGTGTTAGGTCAGGCTGAATTCTCAAAAATCTTCCGATCAAATCTCAACTAATTGCGATCATAACTAAATTGGTGTTTGCACAGAGGAATTTGGCTAATGGATTGATTTTGGAAAAAATCAGTGGTGCCCCTCCCTATGCATCTTGAAAAATTTTATGGAGGATTAGTCGGTGAATTTGATGAATCTTGCAGGAACTTGTCCCCTTTACTATGTGCCTCTTAAAATCATATCACAATGATTCATTCCTATTTTCCAGATTTGGAGCTGTGTAAGTTATCTCGGCGAAGAGCAGTCCCAACTGTTGAAATGGATTTTTCTAGTCAAACAGAGGCCCCGCAGGATAAGAATCCTCCGCAGTCTCTTGATCTTCCCCATCCAATTTTGTCTCCTCGGGCTCTTACAAATTCAAATGAAAAGTTATCTTACATGGACTATCTTGAGCTACAGTGTCTTTCTGAGCAAGAAAAGCAGGGTAAGTAATCTTTAAATGGTGATTTTTTTTTTTTTTTTTGAATCATTTAGATTGTAGGTCAAGCTATCAGTTTGTCCTATAAATACGGAAATTGGATCAGTTTTGAGAGTCTTTTCATAAAATACATCATACTCTAGGGTGGAGAGGAGTCGAGGAGAGCGTTACGCTATTTTATTTCACATGTTACGTACAGGATAGTTACTCGTTTTTTGAAAGCGTTATGAGAAGGGATGACGGGTCAAAATATCCCAAATTCAGCATTACTTACGTATATTATTAAACGCCCCCCAATTCGTCGGTCCTCTGACGTAAGGGCGTATCTCTAATTCCACATGATCCACAGAAAGCATAAGATCATACGGAGAACACGGCTCATGTAGAAATTGAAATACGCCCTTACATCAGAGGTCCGACGAATTGTCCCATTCTTCCCTTTTTGTGGATATTTTCAACTAATAAAAGAATCGCTAATTTCATTTTAAATTCATTTTTTTCACAAGGAGTTAGAATTAGCTCTCTCCTGACCCAAACGAAGTGACCATTAAATTTTGGGGAATTTATTTTTGGACTGAATAATGTAAATAAGGTATTTTTAAAAGAAGAAACTGATTCACGAACTCACTATTTGTGCTACTCATCGACTCCTTATTTCAAATCTCTAGCCAGATAGTATACAAATGAAAAGAACCACACAGTATTGGGAAGTTCTTCTGCCTTGTACGATACAAAATATCTCTTTATGAAAAAATTGATGTATTTTTTTTCTTTGGTTCCAAAACCTTAGATGAGTCGAGAGCCTCTTGCTTTCAAAATTACAGAAAACTCCTAGCCCATATATTTTTAAAAATGGCCTTCTCTTTTTAAGTCCTAACCTTCCCTATTTTTTCTTTTTCCGTCACAATTTTATGATAAACGCAGTTTTTATGCTAGGGTGAGCTACCCTTCCCATATTAAGACCGTAGGTTTGGAGCCTTCCCTCTTTTGCATGCAACCCATCGCGACTCACCAGTCACTTGGTTGAAAAGTTCCCTTACTTCTGTTCATTTCAAAATTCTAGCATTTCTCTGGTTGCATATCATCATACCATTTACTATGATTTTTTGAACTCGCATGCCTCTTTATGATGAATGTTTTGTTTTGTTTTTAGAGCATGAAATAATATGGCAAGAAATTCTTGCTGAACGAAGGAGAAGAAAAGCAGTGACGCCATTAGTACTTTACTGCAATGAAGAAATCCAGCAGAAGAACAGTTCCTTACAAGAAAAAATGTTGAAATGGCCTGGAATCGAGGAGGTTCTTGTTACCTATCATAGCTACGCTAAAGGTATGTTTTGCACCCGATAACATGTTTTCTTCTGAACCGACGCCCTGATCATGTCCATTTAAGATAATCTAATAACGCAACTTTTGCTCACAGTACCTAAAAAAATCTCTCTGCAATGCCCGCCTTGTTGCAAGGGCTGTCTCAAATATGCTGTAAATGTAAAGGAATGTTCCATTTATAAATGTTGACTTGATGGTGGTTAATAAGATGTAATACCCATGAAGTATGTGTGTGGAAGTGGATGTTTTGAGGAGGTTTTTTGCATCATTAATTTATTTATTATTTTTGTACTTCCACTACGGATTTGGCTGCCATTGAGTTAATTGGGTGCAACATGCCAGATTCGAGTAACTGAACATTTTTGTATGGCCCCCATAATTATCTTTCCTTTTTTTGGTTTTCTTAGCTTTTTTGTGTTAATCTCTAAAGATGAAGTCTACAGCCATAGATAGTTTTTTTCGGGAATCGTCTACACTTCAGAATTATCTTTTCTTCCCTTCGCTGCTATCAAAAGAATTTAGGAAAATAATCTCAGGTTTTATTTATTTAATACTCTTAAAGGACGCAAAAGCAATTGATTTAGCCGACACTTTCAGTCTGAATTTCTCTTTTCTCTTACTTTTTAGTATTAGTCGTCCCATGACCCTAATTTTTTTGTTTTAATTTTTTGTTATTTTAATCTGTTGTACAATTTTTGTTCACAGAACGAGCTTTGGAAACGGCTGCTTTACAGGAAAAGGTGCTCAAATTAAAAGAAATGTTAAGTTATTACCAAAAAGAAGCTGCACTCTTAGATTGCCAGATGGACGAATTGAAAGCTACCAATGAAAAATTGAGCCAAGAAAAGTCGCAAACGCTGTCTCACATCAATAATCTTTGCTCTTTAATTGATCAAATAACGACGGTCACTTCCAGCTGTTAGTTCAATATTCAGTTAAGTACGATTGTAAGTGTTCCTTTATAATTTTAAGCCAATATTTTTTCTAGCTCAATGGTTAATGGTTTTTTGGATATGAAAACAACCTCAATTTTTTTTATCCATTTTTAATCATTACAATTTATACCTTTACTCAAGGGTAGCTCACAAATTTATCGTTGCCTCTCAGTTTTAACTAATTTTAAATAGGTATTAAGTTGCCTTTTTTTCTTTCATTTAATTTATTTTTCTTTCCTCTATTGTTTTTTTCTTTACTCCAAAAATTGCAATTATATTTGAATAATTTTACAATAATTAGTTTGAAGGGGTGGGGGGATGTCTTTGAAATGTTTAACATTGTACCAATTATGTAATGTGCACATCCAATATTTTTAAGTGATTGGATTATAAAAAAATCAGTGAGTAACTGTCGAATTTGAAGGCCTAAAAATGATGAGAGCTTTTATTTAACGAATTTTAACATCTCAGCTTCCTTAAGGGAATTTTGCATGGGGTTCCTTCATTTGTGCTGCCATTTTGAATGAAAGTAACTTTTCATATATTCACTTTTTTACTTTCTTTTCTAGTTGTAATTTTATGAAGTTCATTGAAACTTTTAGTCAATATGTCATGTCCGTGAAACTGGAAAATAATCGATCTGCAATATTTTTGTTTAATCAAACAGTGAATTCTAAAAAATAAGACAGAAAAGAAACTATCCAAAAGATAAGAAACATAACCAATGAAACTGCTTAAATATTTTTTTAGAAACCTATCAAATTTTTAAAATGGAGAGGACAGTCTTGTAAAATTGTACAAGTTACTAGAATTATTGCAATCATCGGCAGAAGTAATCCGTAGTTTATATCATGTCACAACTCAAAAGGTAAAATTTTAAAAAAGTTTAAAATGTACTTGCATAAAAGGAATTGTGCCGCTGATGATAAAAGCCTTGAAACGTATCTGGACAAAATATCTTAAACTTATGCAAGTGAATGTGAAACCGTTTTTAACTTTTTAAAATTTTACATTATTTACGATTATCTTGACAAATCTAGTTTTTGTTAAATCTGAATGTTTTGAATGGATGTGTAGGGAGAAATAACAAGATTGAGATCTTGAATAAGGAGGTCATTTCTGACAAAAATTCTACTTTGATCAAATCCTTTGAAAATTTCTTTGACCCGTAAATTAATCAATTTGATATTTCCGGTACAATCAGGTTTCTGCCACTCTACATTTTCACATGATCAATAATGCAGTCATGTACAAATCACATTCAAGTCCAAGTAAAAATGTAGGAACAAATACATGGCCGGTAAAAAAATAATAACAATGTGTACATAAACCAAGATCTAATCTTGCAGATCTGATCTGACAGCTCAAGTTTACAGCTTTTCCACCAAACCATATACCTAATGCTTAATTATTTTATTTATTCGTTTTTTTTTTTGTTTTTTTTGTTTTAAGAATGAAAAATATTTGGACTGTCAGGTTCTGTTAAAGTGATATGTTATTAGGTACTTTTTAATCTTCAGCAGTTGTTTTGTTATGAAATTTAAACCAAAAAAGACATTACAAATAAAATTTGTGATTTTTCGTACAGATTGTTTTAATTTCTTTACTTTAAGATTGTACTTTATTTATAAACTTATCTATAAAAAAAACAAATTATTTATTGAATAAACACTTTTCTCATAATTCGTTTCTATGTTTCCTTTCTTTTGAGGGTAACCTACAAAACAAGTTTTCACAAATAATTTGAAATGTACAAGCGTAAAGGAACAAATTCCTCTAATTAATTCTAAATTAATATTGCTCACAAAAACATTATTCTTCATGACTTTAATTTAATCAGTGTGCACCGTAGGTAATTAAACGGTAAAAATAAGTAAATTGATAAAATAATGACTATCAAAATTGAGATCAAAACTAAAAATAATCCTGAACGCTCACATTTGAGAAGAAGGATTAGTCTATAAGAATAATTCACTCTCTGAGACAAAAAGCAAAAAGAGGAGAGATTAGGATCAAATAAAAGAGAATGAAAAACAAAAGCCGATTTTAAATTCAGGAAGTCAGGACGCTTCACTCTTTTGGTTGTAGGAATTGAATTAGCCATAATAAAATTATCAGAATCAACTAAAACTAAAGGAGAAAAGAAAATTAAAAATAGGAATATGATTAAAAAGAAAAAAAATCCAAAAAATCTTTAATTCCACATGTAAGATATAAAGTTTAATATTTATAAATTTTAAAGATAAATTTCATTTTAGTTTAAAAGTGATATTTGTCCTTTTTTAGTTGATCAAGTCTCCTCGAGTGATTTGATTCTTCTGAATTTTCTTGGCTAAGTTTTTCATTTCCTCTTTTTTTCTCCCATCATTTTTTTTTTTTTTTTTGTTTGATTTTATAACACTATTTACACGTTTGATTATGAACCACTTTAGATTTTGTAACATATTCAAATACAGTTCAAAAGTGTTTACTGTGTTTACATAATACAGTTTTCAGTGAGCTTTTAATTGAATTGAGAAATTAAAAGTTGCCTGGGACCATAGACCTTCACCTCTTGAACAGCAGAACTTCCAAAGAGGATTTGGTCCGTGGATTTAAATCTCTTAAAAATTATCAGTTGAGTAAAATTAAAAATGAAAAAATATAAGTTCTTAGATTTTTTTAGAGTCCACTATTTTCGCATTTAAAAACTAATTGTTCAGTAAGTAAAATACTGAGAGAACCCTAGTAATCATCTTCTTTGATGAATGTAGTACGGTAATGGTATTGGTGGTATGTCCATTGGAGTTGGTAGGAGTGCTTTTTTTCCAAAGTTTCGTTTGGATGTTACTTCAAAATATGTTAACACTTTGCCCAACAGAGAGTATTCTTTATTATCATGATACTCTAGTGAAAAGTTTTGGCTAACAATAAACTTTGAAAAGTTATTTTGTTGGGCAGGTTTATATTGTACTGTTAGTGGAGGTTTAGTCAGTGAAGAAATGGTGTTTCTAGATTTTTTATGAGAACTGATGAAATTGGAGGATACAGTTTTTTCCTCAAGTTTTTTGTTACTTTGTACAGTACATTCTTCTTTAGGTGGCACTTTTGGTGCAAGAGAGCTTCTGTAACTTTCATCAAAATCACTCGAGAAGCTTCGTTTTCTTTGAACCCTATCTAAATTCTCCTGCTGCTCAGCTGGACAGTGACCCTGTGCATTACATTGTACTTTCGATATAGTTTCTGTGTGTATTTTTGTAATGGATGCCACTTTTGGCGTCAAAAAGCTTTTAAAACTTTCATCACTGTCACTGGAGAGGCTTCTTTTTCTCTGAAGATTACCGACATTTTTCAGCTGCTCAGCTGCCTTTATAGCAGGTGTCATTTTTGGTGCAAAGGAGCTTCTGTAACTTTCTTTAGTATCACTTGAGGAACTTCTTTTTCTTTGAACCCTATCAAAATTCTTCCGCAGCTCAGCCGGACAGTGATCCTGCGCATTACACTTTTCTTCTGATACTGTTTCTGGGCGTATCTTTTTGATGGGTGCCATTTTTGGCGCGAAAAAGCTTCTGAAACTTTCACTACTATCACTAGATGCTCTTCTTTTCCCCTGAAGATTACTGAAATTCTTCAGCTGCTCAGCAGGATCTTGACCTCGTACTTCACCCTTCTCTTCAGATTGTGTCTCTGGATGCTCCTTCTTGATAGGTGCCATTTTTGGCGCGAAAAAGCTTTTGAACCTCTCATTACTATCACTGGAGGAGCTTCTTTCTCTCCGAAGACTACCGAGTTTCTTCGGCTGCTCATCAGGATCTTGATTGCGCACTTCGCACTCTTCTTTTGATTTTGTCTGTGAGTGTATCCTTTTGATAGGAGCCATTTTCGGTGAGAAAAAGCTTCTGAAACTCATAATACTATCACTGGAATAGCTTCGTTTTCTCTGTGTCTTAGGTTGCCCACGTGAACAACTACAACTACAACTACAACTTGGAACTAGCTTGCTGCCTTTCGTGCTAGTTGCCACTACTTCAACCAAACGAGCATTGCTTTTTAACTGCTCGTCACATGGCAGTCTCAATTCTCGGTCGGGACTGAATTCCGGTCTGGTGTAACCACCTACGTAAGGAATTCTCCTTCCGTATGTCATACGAGGTGGAGAATCTGGAGAGTCCACCTCTGTCTCTGTGGAGAAAGAGTCGGGTGTGAAATGGACCCTCCGTACGGTTTTAGTTTTCGAGCGCACATTCTGTTTTTTCAAACTTGGGCTCAAACTTAGTGCTGCTCGAATAGGGCGCGTTTTGGCACAAGTTGATCGCATTTTTTTAGAGGATTTCATCATTGTGATGTACGGTGTTTTACTCGTTGGATCCGGTGGGGGGATTAGACTTATGTGACTCCTTTTTTTTAAACATGACCGTAGCTCTGTCATCTGTGAACAAATAACATCTCATATGAAATTTTACCCATAGGTGGACACTGTAAGAAAAAGCATAGATTTTAATTTCTCAAAAAAGCTTACCTGACTTTGAGAGGAGAATATCTACGGCGAAGCTACCAGACCACGTATCTCATTTGGACTGCATTTTGCAATTTGGAACTATAAATTCTAGCTCATCTGAAAAAACACGTAAGTGCATAGGGAAACCAATGGTACATACGTTGTTTCTAAACCGGGCCAGAATTTATAATTCCAAATTGCAAAATGCAGTCCATTTGGTGTGTATCTCCGCTCCCATTCTTTTTTTCTTTTTTTTTTTTTTTTTTTTTTTTTTTTTTTTTTTTTTTTTAAGGAGAACAAATGGATTGAATTTTGCAATTTGGACCTATAAATTCTGGCTCTTCTGAAAAAACACTTGTGTGCATAAGGAAACTAATGGCACATACGTTGTTTTTACACCGGGCCAGAATTTACAGTTCCAAATTGCAAAATGCAGTCCAAATTAATATCGTTACTTAAAATTTTCGCAAGTTTTCTTCGCCCAGAGAAGGAAAAACATAGAAGTTTTTAAGAATTGACGTTGGGTGATTTTCCATTTAAAAAATAAAATATAACAGGAAGTATGCAACGTCGCAAAACGAGGTACATGGTCTGGTAGTTTCACCGTCAATATGCATCTTGTCACAAATTTGGAAGTTTTAAATTAAGACAATTTGATAATTTATTCGTGTCCTTTTGGCAAACCAAAAATTTCCGTCATCTTTACTCTTTGTGGTCCCAATTATTTGTACCTATCCGCCCCCTCTCAAAAGGTAATAATAATTGTTCAATATTTGTCGTATTCTATATATTCCTCGGAGGATTTGGTGCCTATCCGGGTAAATTGAAGGCGAGTCTCGAAAGGACGATGTCTCAAAATCGGGTTACACTTCATGAAGTGGTTCAATCAAAGCGAGATGATTGCTTGGTTTATTTCTCATGTTATTTTGTACGTTGCATGTCCATTGAAATTGCAAGCGAACTTCAAAAAGATTTTGTCTGCAATAACTATTTTATCTGCAAATCGCGTAAGTACGGGTTCAATCAAAGCATGAGGCGCGAGGTAAATGTTTCTTCGTAAAGACCTTTATTCTCCGTACTCCCTAGTTGGTTTGTTGCCTATCCGGAAAAGTTGCAGGCGAACTTCAAGTGATCCAAGTGAAAAGGGACCTGCTCCAGCGAAACGCTTCCGGATTATTTAAACGTTTCTTTTATTTACGGTTCTTGTATTTACTGAAAGTTCTCAAATTTTGAAGCTCCCTTACTTAGTTCTGTAGGTTCATGTCCCTTTTCCCTTTTTCTATCCTAGATTCTTAGTTTAGTGAAGACGCGATCGAGGTGCCTTTTTTTGCACATTACATCTTTAATCGTGTCCATTATTTTCCATCTCTCTTATCGCCGTTACTTTTACTTGCCCCTATTTCTTTTTTCTTCTTCTTCCTTTCTCTCTTCCTCCCCCTTCCCTCTGTATTTTAATTTATTTTAATTATTTTGTCTTTGGCAACTCTTTTTGTTCATTGGAATGGTGCAAAATTAAAAAGAGCGAGAAATTGGGTTTACACATGGGGTAGATTGCTTATTAAAATATACATTTTTTTGGTGTGAATCGGTCAAAGCAGCCTCGAGGTTCTTACAGGAATATTGATGGAAAGAACAAATCGAAGGTGAAACTACCAGACCACGTATATCGGTCTGCGACGTTGTAAACTGCCCGCATACTTTACTTTTTAAACGGAAAACTACACTGGAAAAAAAACACATTGGATCTAGAGTCCAGACTCTTGAAAACATTGACAAGAAAAAGAATCAGGGCCGGATTAAGGAGGTGGCCACATGGGCCGCGGCCCATGGCGGCAAATCTATTAAGGGGCGGCAAAAATTTGCAATTTTTAAAGTGTAGGTATAAAACAAAATCGGATTTATAAAAACAAAATTACAAACGAGAAAAGGCGACAAAATCTCTCATTTCTTGAGAGTATAGTAATTTCTAATTTTTCCGTCTCCTAGTGATAAAGGAGACAGCACCCTCAATAAGTCGAGTTACGAGAGAAACCAAACACGCAATTTCGCCTAGGACGGCGCGACTTAAAGAGAAATGATAACGAGGACTTGAGATGAAAAGGAGAAGCCCTCGTGCGGCGGCGCCTACAAGCTTGCACGAATACTTCACGCATTGCATCAAACACAAAGCGGTCATTGCGGTCAGCGTGAAACGGATAGCGCTTACAAGAATGCATGAATACTTCACGCATTGCGCCAAACACAGTGCGGTCAGCGTGAAACGCATAGCGCCTACAAGACTGCGTGAATACTTCACGCGTGGCGTCAATTACAGTGCGTTCAGCAGCGGTCGGCGTGATACGCATAGCGCCTACGAGACTGTCGGAATACTTCACGCATTGCGCCAAACATGGTGCGGTCTGCGCGGCGCGGCGGCGGAAGTTAAATCATTGATCCACATTTATGTTTGTTCTTTCATATTTTAAGCGTGCCAGTAGGGCTCGCTTTTTGAAATCACTCGGATGTACCATAGTACAGCACACAGATCAACCAATGCTATTCAACGGGTCGTCCAAATATACTTTTTTCCTCGCACCCGTTTCTTTGTCTTTGAACCATTACACTGTCAAGCCCTGATGGTCTTTTACCAAAAAATCTAATGAACTGCTAATTGGAAACCCTTGAGAACATTTTTCTGTCAAAACCGTATTATTCAATTTGACAGAAACCTCATAGGAGCTTTCTTACGCTCGGAGGACTCAACTCTAGAACCTTCTTTCCCGCCAAAACTCTATAGCCAATGAGCGTCTTGCACTAAGTGCAATCTGTGATGAGCCTCGTGACTCATTATACTATGTACTAACCATGGCCCCTGCCGAAATCCACTTAAACCACTACAGTTATTTCGCGATATAGCTTTGGGTGTCCGGTTTCGAGCAAGGCAATAAAAGACGGCGAGGCGATTAACCGATTAACCATTCACCGTGATGCCAGGATCCACCAAATTTTCTCAAAAATTGTTTTCCGTTTATTTAGCGAGTTTTTCTTTACTTTCCGTTGAAGTACAAATAAAAAGAGACCTCATTTGTACAAATCGGCCGAATAGGAGAGAAGTTACAGTTCGAAATCCAAAGAGATTAACTGAACGCGATTTCGATGCACAGCAGTTCGCCCAAATTACGGTCGTGCGCAAATGCTGCATATCAACATAAAATCAAGATAATTGGACGGAATCTTTAAAATTAATTTACATTCAACGTTCATGAATCAATATTTTCTCCCAAATTTAACAAAAAGTACCAATTGATGCGTGTCGGTATCTTTAAGAGTCTGGACTCTAGATTCAGTGTGTGTTTTTTTCCCCCAATGTACCCAAAGTCAATTCTTGAAAACTTCGGTGTATTTTCTTCGGTCTGCGAAGAAAACTCAGTGTAAATTTCAAGAGAAAAATATTATTTGTTCCTCTTTAAAAATAGTAAAATGAGAGCGGAGACTTTTAAACTCCGCAAACGAGATACGTGGTCTGGTAGTTCCACCGTCGAAATGTGTGAGACCCGTTTAAAATACGTAATTCAGTTGCACGTTATTAGTGTTAAGTTGTGCTCATTTTGTAGTTCCTAGATGCAGCCAAAATGACAGCACGAGCAGGGAAAATGCTGGTGTACGCTGAAAAGTAATTTTTAAGAAAGTTCACAATCAATGGAAAACAGTGCCAACAACTGCGAACATGGCAAAATGATTATAGAACGTGACCATGAAAGAGGACGATATTTTTGCAAGACTAAGCATCTAAAACCTACGAGATGGTAACTGAGTATGCTTACTGTTGCGTCTCCATAACAACGTCAATAACTTTTCTTCAATTGTATTACATTATATTTGATCACGTCGGGGTCACCTATTTGTTGAGTCGAGTCAACAATAAAAATAAATTATATTTATAATAAAGATAGAATATCATTTAAAAACTATTAATTACTTGAGATAAACAGCCGGAATACAGAGAGAGTGATTTTGTTATAATGAACTTCTTTATGTCTCATTGACGTTGTTATGGAGATGCAAAAGTTACTATTAATACCTAGCCGTTTTCCATCGATCTTGCGTACGTGCTCAGAAATAACGCCGTATGAGTCCTCAGATGTTGCCAAATTTCCTTTGACAAATCATGAATATCCGGGGAAATTTGTGAATATTTTTCTTCCATTTTTTCAGAGAATTTCGTTCGTAATTTGATCTGAATTTTCTGAGAATTTCGATGAAAGATATTCATAACTCGCTTCAGAAATGAAAATTTTATCGGAGGAAATTTGGCAACTCTCGAATGTTCATACGTCGTTTTTCCTTAGCACGGCAGCATGCAGATGGCACTTCATACAAATCTCAGACAATTGTGTAAAATGCCACATAGTACAGGAAAAGTGGCGAATAATCGACCATGTGACATGTGAGTAAGTAAATAAGTAGTATTGCATGGGGGAACAAAATTTTTTGGGTAAGCAAGGCTGATTAAAAAACCGATATGATATATTAATGGGACGGAGTAACTTGGAACAAATCCATCTCATACATTGGAAGGTGCCAAGAGGCGCACAGGAACATCTAATCATACACATACCTTCACCTCATCTTACTTCACAATACAATTAAATGAATTATGTGCAGGTATCGATCCATATTTTGATAAATACCTACGTACTTTATTAATGAATGAGCTCGTTGAAACACTTACTCGCATCAAATGAGCATTCAATCAAGAAACAAGTATCAGCACTGATTTGTGAGAAGATGTTTGGGTTGCTTTTAATTAATATGATAAATATAATAGGAATTTATAATAATTTGAGATGATTTGCAATCTAAAAAAACTTTCACCTTCTTACCTAATTTATTCTTGATAAGGAAATCAAGGAAGAGTTGGACTGACTCAGTACGTTTGAAGTCTTTCGGCCATGTATATCGAGGAAAATGACAGGATTTAGTTTTACAGGTATTACAAAATAATTTAAGTTACAATTATTGAGTTTACAGATGAATTGGTTACAGAGACTTTGGAATGAAAATTGGAGTGGAAAAATGGTAGAGGAAAGATGTAGGAAAGAATGAAGGATTTTAGGATGATGCGATGATTTACCTTGGCGCCACATAAACTGAAAGATGTTGAAGTCTTGCATGTAACGTACGCGGTCGAATTAGCGTGTAACGAACGCGGTCGAATTTGCGTGTGACGTACGCGGTCGAACGTAACTTACGTGTTACCACCGATTTAACACTAAACGCGTGTAAAACGAAGTGAGTGTAAAGTACTCGGACTAGTTGTGTTGTGCGTAACACCGTCGAAGGTTTGAGTTGTAACGAAACTCAATCGCAGTTACTAAATTGTAACCGGAGCCTTAACGAGACTCAATCGAAGTCACTAAATGTGACATAGTGCTTGAGGGCACAACCCTGGGCTGCGGAGCAGAGATACTTTAAGTAAGAGGGATAAGATGAGATTGAGAAAGGAACGCATCGGCAGCTGCCTAAGACATCTCGGGCGCTTGACAGCGCAGGACATAATAATAAATTCGTCATCGCATGGGGATTTCGGGCGCCTACGTTATCGATCCGAGGTGACTCATCAAAGAAAGCGAGGGAAAGAATGGAGATGTTGCATGTGTGAGGGATTTGCGATTTGACCATTGATTCTTATTTAAAAGGTCGCGAGAAACACGATGGTGCCACTGGTTTTCTCTGGAATCAACTCCCAAGCTCAAAAAAAGCATACTGGGCTACCGAAAGGAGCAACGTGTACGAAAATGCAAAAAAAAATGCACTCCATATCTGTTCATTACAAGATTATCAGTGCCTATGTATTATAATCGCGGTTGTATTCTTAGAAATCGTTAGGTTGATCGTGAATATTGATAATGCATTTCTTTAACATAAAAACACGGGATGATTGCCTCATTTCAAGCTACTCAAAAAACGGTAAAGTAATTAGCACTTACGTTGGAGCATGGGCTTTTCCCTCTGTTGGATAGGTAGGTAGTGTCGTTAAAGTACCTATGAAAGTAATAACAAATAAATCTGTCAATTAGAAGTTCACAAAAATTGCATAGGTACCTGCTGCTGTGCAATCTTTACGATACAATACAGCAATGTATATGCACCTAACAGGTGAATGATATGAACTTACCATCTTTTCAGAAATGATAATTTTTAGGGAAGCTCACTTCGTTCTTTTACCCTTTGTTGGTCCTTGCGGAAAATAAGTTATCCACTATTTTAAAGAGATGACAATTCCGTGATTGGACTTAAGTTTGTCGAAATTCGGAAAAAACCAATTTAAAAGAATTGATCGTTACCGCACTTTTTGGTCGGACGATTGCGACTCGCAACGCAACGTAGAATACTGACCGAACTGAAACCAAAAACTGACTGCAACCGGCAGAAAAATTACTTTTATATCAGAAATCTTTTGGCTCTCGGCAAGAATCAGAATAATTTATTTTTGTGAAAGAATGACCCGAATTGCTACTGAACCTGTAGTCAGAGAGTTAAATTAGAAAACAATAAAGAGTCTTGTCTCTTTACTCTGGTTTTATTTGGCTCAGTTGAGCTCATTTTTAGCTCGAGGGAGCCGGAGCGTTCTGTTTCCTAATTACAGTCATAAATGACGATTGCTGATGGCGATTTTGAGGTGTAGAGGCATGGCATCTGGCGTCTCCAAACTTTTAGGTTGTTCGAACTTTCCTCCTTATAGTGTCTCAATGGTACTCCCTCGTGGTTATAGCCTTGGATATTTCTGGCGTATATTTTCGTTCGATTTGTGTGCGTGCTCATGAGGAGATCAAGAGCCAGCTTACCTATCAATGACTTCGTCGCAACGCCGCTAGATTGTNGGGGGGGGGGGGGCTCGGGTGCAAAATCTTTGTTTGTCTCAATAGCGCAAATGAAATAAAGGCAAACGTTGATATAATATGAAAAAGTAAACTGTACGTCATCAAAATTAGTTGTGTACAGAGAGAAAAAAGTTCGGTAAGAGATTTACACTTGGCTCACATCGAACCCTGAACTTTTTCGGTCAAGATAACCGGAGTTTCTGGTCATAGCAGCCGAAGTTTGGTTTCTGTGATCGAAAACTTTGGTGCTCAATAGGAGTCGAATTTCAATACCTATTGCTGAACCTTTTTTCTCACAGTAGAGGGACTGAGTAGTAAGAATACAATTTAAGAAGTTAGCCAGAGAATTTGATACGGACTTCCTGCAATGTTTCGCCTTCATTATGGTTGTTATGCAAAAAATTTACTCCTGTATCTGAATATTTGCGCCCTCAAAGCTTGACAACAATGCGCCTCCCCTACAAAGTTTATGGATTTCTGCCTAAAAGATTTTTGGAGCGAACATAAAAACAAAACTGAAAAGCGACTTTAAATTTTGAACCGTATCCTCTGCTATCGAATACGAAAAATCATGGAGAATTAAAGTTTTATGTTGACCATCTTCTCGAAGGCATATAAAATTGAAGGCATTATGACTGGCCTCTCTCAAGTTATATTCGTCTGTAACGATAAACAATGGGACGCGTTTGCTACGGCGCCTTGATACAACTATACAACCTCGACGGCTGTCCGTATTCCGTTCAAAAAATTGAAGGCGTTTTGACTTCCTACGCATAATACCTGTAGTTGATTCGATCGACAAACGCGTTGGTCGGCGGTGACGGGGACTTGATGCAAGTATTTAAGCTTGTTGGATGTCCGTATCGGTCCGACTGAAGTGCGAAACCACGTATCTCCATTGCGGTGTTTCAAAATTTCCGTCCTTAATTCATCTCTTCCATGAGAAACAATCCAAAGAACTTATTCAGTAATGAATGAGAAATTTTAAAAATATCACACGCGCCTAACCAACGTTTTTGAAATTAGGTTTTTGGTCGATATGGACTTACTAGCCAAAGGCGCAACATTGAAAAATGCGCTTGTTAAATCTTCCTGAGCTTCCGAATAAATCAAGAACTCCGCCGTAACTCCACCGCCATGCGAATTGAGGAAACGACTCTCAAAACTTTTACCCATTTCCTTTTTCCCTTTTGACATTGTACAAGTTTTTCTTTTTGGTAATTTCACTTCTCAGCTCACGAGTCGAACTGAACCAAAAATTCTTGCTGAAGATGAAGACAACAATATTACTCTCAATAATGACGGGTGAATGAGACTCGGATGAACGGCGTTTTCGGTTTTGCAGGGCTACGTTGCGCGTCGCGCTGGCCGAAAATCGTCCACACTCCAACTACGCTCTTCGCATCAAAAACCTGAAAGGGCTCTTGATGGCACTATAAAGATGAAATAGCTGTTCAAGTGGAAGAGCAAATGAGGCAAACCAGATGGAAGGCCGAAAGATTGAGATATATTGCGTGTTCGGTGGCAGCTGCGCGGAGTGACATATTTTGCGATGTATCGATTAATCTGACATTTAAACCTGAGGAAAAGGATCGATAGAGAGCAGGCCCGCCACATCCTATCTCGGGCCCTGGTACTAGTTTTAAGGCCTGGGCCCCCAGCACAGAGAGGGTCCGTAGGCCTCCCCCGGGAATTTTTTAAAATTTTAAGTCCACTTGGACGCATTGTGAGGCTCCCACGAAGGAAATTTTCCATCGGTTTCTGCAGAATAATTAAGTCTTTTTTTTACTTTTAGCACAAAATACTTTCGGATTGTTGCATTCAAAACACCTGGAAATTTTTTTCGGGGGGGGGGGGGAGGTGGATGGTATGCCAGATAATACTATTTTCAATTCTAAAGGGGTCCAGCCCCCCTTATCTAAGATAGAAATCTTTAAGGAAGTCAGAAAAATTCTAGAGTGCTTTAGCGTGTTTATGAAAATTTATACACCTTTTGCGAAAATTGTAGGGTAAGTTTTTCACTTTTTCTTACGAGACAAGGGTAACATGTGAAATCGTTTTGGTTTGTCAACAGTGGCACGGGCCCCTCAAGGGCCCGGGCCCCGGAACTAGGGACGCAGTATCCCCCCCCCCTTGTGGCGGGCCTGCATGCATGCTGGGCTTGTCGATTTCCTTTGACATTTTTACAGTGGTGAATGCATAGTTGAAGTGCGCTCCAGCTAGAATTCTATTTAGTAAATGGGTGGTTTTTATACGAGGATTAAAAATAAACACGTGGTACGGAATAAAACAAAAGAATATGAACTATGCAAAACGATAATCCGGGAATCGAAACTAAGCTGTTTTGAAAACGCCTTCAAATGCGGCGTGATACCTCACGCATTCCGGAGAGTTCAAATAGTTGTATCATTGCGCCTTAGAAATGCGACGGAAAATTAAAATTGAAATAGGCTCCATGCACGCTGGCGCTGGGCTTGTCGATTTCCTTTGACATTTTTGCAGTGGTGAATGCATAGCTGAAGTGCGCTCCAGCTAGAATTGTATTTAGCAAATGGGTGTTTTTATACGAGGATTAAAAATAAACAAGAGGTACGGAATAAAACAAAAGAATATGAACTATGCAAAACGATATTCCGGGTATCGGAATTTGGCTGATTTCAAAACGCCTTCAAATGTGGCGTGATACCTCACGCATTCCGAAGAGTTCAAATAGTTCTATCATTGCGCTGTAAAAATATGACGGAAGATTAAAATGTAAATAAGCTCCATACACGCAGGCCCGCCACAGCCTATCTCGGGCCCTGGTACTAGTTTTAAGGCCTGGGCTCCCAGCACGGAGGGGGTCCGTAGGCCTCCCCCGGGAAATTTTCAAAATTTTAAGTCCACTTGGACGCTTTGTGAAGCTCCCACGACGGAAACTTTCCATCGGTTTCTGCAGAATAATTAAGCCTTTTTTTTTCACTTTTAGAATTTTTTCCNGGTGGGGGGGTGGATGGGATGGCAGATAATACTATTTTCAATTCTAGAGGGGTCCAGCCCCCCTTATCTAAGATAGAAATCTTTAAGGAAGTCAGAAAAATTCTAGAGTGCCTCAGCGTGTTTATGAAAATTTATACACCTTCTGCGAAAATTTTAGGGTAAATTTTTCACTTTTCCTTACGAGACAAGGGTTACATGTGAAATCATATTGGTTTCTCACCAGTGGCACAGGCCCCTCAAGGGCCCGGGCCCCGGAACCAGGGACCCATTACCCCCTCCCCCTTGTGGCGGGCCTGATAGAGAGGGTGTTCGGAACGAATACCTTGTTAATCGATTCTTTTACCATAGTTGTAAATGGGGATGTATCAATAATCGATAGTTTACGCCTCCCCACTGATCGGTGCTTGACACTGAACAAAGTCACACTAGAGTCAAAGGAGCCATAAGGCTAAAAGTAACTAACACGGTGCTCGCACGGGGAACAGGTAGAAGAGACCACGAGAAAGGGGCAGCCCTCGCTTAAATATACGCTTGTTGACGTCACAGGTGGTGAGACCGCAGGGCTACGCGTGATTGGCTAGCTTTAATCGGTGTAGCAATCTGCTATCAGTTGCATGTCTAGTCATTAAAGAGAATGCGATTGCTTGACGATAAGACTGAAAAATTGAGGATTTGAGACAAAAATGCTCAAACTCAGCAATCGCTAATAACTAGAGGGAAAAACATGAGGGACAAAAGAACTGAAATGATAAAAATGTCTTGTGCTCACTTGTGGTAAAACTATTATGGGGGACGCGTTTCGGAGCTTAGAGCTTCATGCCGGCTGATGATGGAGCTATATGCTTCGAAACGCGTCCACCGCAATAATTTTACCGCGAGTGAGCACACGAAATATATTTGACTTGTGACTGTCCCCCCACAAAGTTTCTAAATGAACTGAAAGTTACGGGACTTGTAGGGCCCGTGACACTTCCTAAATCCATATCTGAATCAGTCCGTCAAATTTTAGACTTATGGAATTTTTTCGTTCGACGGCAGTCCCGTCATAAGTCCCCAATAAAGGGATGAAATATTTGAGTATAAACTACCAGCACCTTTGCTTCATTCCGTTTATTTTCATTCTACTGTTTTTTAAGGACGGAGGCAAATGATTTCTCCTACCAAGTTTTGTGTGCCTTTGCATGCAGTACCATCTTGGTTCTCTCCCTCATCATAACCGGACCCCCCCCCCCCCNTCCCCTATTACTTACAATTAGATAGTGATAGTAGAGGTTGACGCGACGATGAAAACGGAAACATCGAGACAGTCCGCAAGGATTCGACTGATAAGTGATGAGACATCGCGGATGAAGGATACGTTGATAATGAGATCGTGTTGGACCTCAGAAAAAGGAATAATTAAGTTTGAAAACCAGAGCATCCAATCATTCATTATTTTACATCGTTGCGATTTCAAGAGAAAACAGTCCGAAGCTTAGCATTTACATTTAGTTTTATTACGTGAAAAAAACAAAGCCTCTAACCATGAAGTAGGTAAAAAAATGAATTGGACCACATTTTGCAATGAGGAATTACTATTCTGTCTCATTGTAAAAACAAAATCCATACCGTATGCCATTCGTTTTCTTGTGCAGAGAGGTGGTTTTAAGGCTGAGCCAAAAATAGTAATTTCCTCTATTGCAAAATGTAACATATATTTTTTTTTATTTATTATTTTCGGTCCTGTAATTGGGTTAGGTGCATTGACACAAACTGTCACCAAAATTTAATGCAATTCTAGCACTCAATGTTCCCGCAAAGTATAGGTAAGACGTAAGGTAGTATAGGTAAGGTGGTAAGGCGTAAGTATAGTTTAACTGAACTTCGCTCTCAAAATTATCAATATTTCAATTTTTTTTTAAAATGTGCCTCGTAGTGATCATTCTGGAAACCCCTGAGTACTAATCAGTGAAGAAATTAAGGTTATGATATTAATAAGATATGATTTAATTCCGAAATAGAATTTATTCAGTTTTACAGCACTGAGACAAACACGGCGTAAAGGCTACAGAGAAGGATCTGTACTGACTGAAATCAAAGACAAAGGGATGCACCACGCAGGCGTAGGCGCAAACAAGGGGACGAGAAACCTCGTAAAATTATCTCAAGGGCACACGTGCAGTAGGGATGGTCCCTGTGCTGCGTTGTCAGATTAATTATTCCAGATAAACAATAGTCCAGATAACAATCAGGACTACCTGAGAAACACCGCGCGCATATTTTCTGCTCCAAATTACACCGAATAATCCGAATATGAAATGTGGGAGATTTGCCAGAAATGGAAGGTTTAAGTGTGTTTAAACAACCAAAATTTCAAAATCCAGTCGTAAATGGGGAAAAGCACACGCGTGCTTCGCGTGCGCGTGCACAGCTTTGAGTTTATTTTCTTTGGCCTTAAAATGTTTATGATTGCACAAAATTCCTTTTGAAACCTAGTGAGCGATGTATTCAAGAACAATGCAAATATTTTACCGCATCACAACTCAGCACCCTTTCATTTTAATACAGTTTTTTGGCTCTACAGAAAATTTAGGTTGGGTGGACTGGTGTGGCTTTTCAAAATGCACTTTCATACGTGGACTACATTTTACAAAAAAAAAAAAAAAAAAAAAAAAAAAAAAAAACTACTATTTCTGGTCTATTGATAAAAGCACCTATCTGTAGAGAAAAACTAGTGGCACATGCGTTGTCCCTGAAACACGTCAGAAATAGTAATTTTCCTTTGTAAAATGTTATGCATACCCGCCCGGCAAGGGAGCAATGTGTACGTTGCCGCAACGTTGCAAGGCAACATTTTTGATGATATTGCTTTGTAAAGGTAAAGCAGCAACGTTTAAGCAATGTTTCAGTAATGTTGCCTGACATTATATTTTAGACAATATTTTCAAAACGTTTTTAGAAATGTTTCTGGAACATTATTAAAAAACGTTTCAATAAATATTTCTTAGATATATTGTGACAACGTTGTTAAACATTATTAGTCACGAAGAAACACGATTTGACCCGGAACAAATTGCTTAACAAACTTTTCCTATGTAAACGTCATCAGTAGGTCCTCCTGAATAACATACCAAAAGTTTACCACGGTCCGACCCCGGAACACCCCCCAAAATGCCTAAATTTCAAAATGGCGGCCATAATAAGGCCTCTGGGATTTCGGTTTTTTAAAATGCGCATATAATGTTATGTGAGGTATCAATCCCTGTGTAATTTTGGTCGTAGAACTCAGATATGAGGTCAGGCAGATGCTGTGCTGCAAATCGGAGGGGACACTTTTACACTGTTTCAGGTGTTCTCCTTTCTGTTGTTTCTCAACAGATGATTTTCTCCAATCAATATAAGGGAATGCGCCCTCATACAATGTCGCAAAAATATGTATATGTATATACAAAAATAAAAAAAAATTAATTGATAGATAATTAAAAAAATAAAAAAATTAACAATAAAAATATACAAATGAAGATAAAATTAAAAAAAATTTAAAAAAAATTTAAAAATAAAAAATAAAATAACAAAAATAAATATAAATAATTAGAAAATAATTTAATACAAAATAAAAATACCAAATAATTATAATAATAAAAATAATTATAATTTAATATAATAAATAATTAAAATAATAATAATTTTATTTATATAAAATGAATATATTTATTCAATTCTTTGTTAATTTTTTTTCATACTCCTTTTTTTTAAAAAAAACTTGATCTTCCTAATATTATGTTCAGTATCCTTCGTTGTAGAATTATGCACAGAAATGCAAGAATATCATTGCTTTCTATCATTGAACCAGATCTAGGGATGTTTATTAATGCTAAATAACCGATCTTTCTCACGCGAGCGTCCGTGGCTGAGTGGCAGCGACACACGGGCGATCACTGAAGTTCAGCAACGTCGGGCGTAGTTGGTACTTCGATGGGAGCCCGCTTGGGTACCCGGGCGGAGCGCGGCTACTTTCGGACTTACAATTAGAGTGAATTTCGGGTGCCTAAGAAACACTTCTCTGCAGTCCACAATGAATTCTAGGAGTAAAAATGCAGAATTCTCCTAAAATAAATCACCGAAATTTTTTTCACCAACATTCCCAACATGCAACATTCCCATTATGTTGCTAAAACACATTGCAGACACATTGCCAATTACGTTCATGCAAGCTGACAAAATTACACGTTGTGGCAACGTTGCCCGAATACGTAAACGGCGAAATTGCAACGTTTTGGCAACGTTGCCACAACGTAATTTTGCCGGGCGGGTATGATTGCAAAAATACTGTGAATTTCTTGGGCAAAAATTTTGGTAAGATCGTCTCGCTGCAAATGAAACATGAATACCCACTGTGAATTTTTGGGGCAAAATTTTTTGCAAGATCCTAATATTGTGCGGTTGCAAATTAAAGTGGATCTTCAACAACTGCGCCATGCATTCTGGGTATGATCGATGCATTTCATTTTTTAACCTTTCGGTGGATTATTTTTGAGGAAATAGAAATTTTAGTCTGTAGACACTACATAGACCAACCATTGAGGAATTTTCGTGCCGAAAATAATCAACAAAAGTCTTAAAACGAAATCTAAGGTATTGTCTCCAATTAATCATCGATATCGATTTGAAAGCGGTTGCAAAATGGAGACAGTACTTTTTACTTCGGTTTGAACAATTTGGAACATGATTGTCGGCAAGGACATTCCTCCATCATTGATCTTCAGACTGAAATTTCGATCTCCTCAAATTAATCCATTAAAATGTTTAAAATTTGAAATTTTTCCACCGTACTCAGAATGCATCGCACAAAAGCTGAGGATCCACATCGAGCACGCTTTTCACAATCTGAGCCGCATGTTAAAGCTTCAACGTCGTATTTTCAAAGGATGATCAATTGGACCGCGTTTAACAGAAAGGAACCAAGCCACATCAGCTATTGCCAAATTTAGCTGGGCGAGTCAATTTTTTACGAGGGAACGTTCGTGTTGATTCCTTTGAAAATTTTAAGGAATTTGCTATGTATTATGGAGAAAATTCACTGAAATTTGCACAAAAATCCGCCCAACCGTTTTCATGTAAAATATTAATTCCCCTAATTAAATTTGGCAATAGCTGATGTGGCTTGGTTCCTTTCTGTTTAACGCGGTCAAATTTTCCTCAATTTAAACATAAAACCTATTTCACACAAAAAGAGACTCACGTTCTAGGAAACGATGAAGCTGAGGTTCTCGATCGACTGCAGCAGTGCACCTAGACCAACAGACTTGTCAACACAACGCGCATCGCCGACGGCAGGACTGATTCTGATTGTGTCGAGGGAGCGACCTTGGCCCTCGGTACCGCGGAGGAGATGCAGATGCGGGGGCGATCCATGCAGCGGAGACTCCTTAGGCCATCTCACACGTCACAAATCGAGACGTCCGCGACTTATAGTTGCACCGCTGACCAATGAGAGCACACGCTCGGGAAGGAATCGCTGATCACACTTCCAAGTTGCGACGTGTGAGAACGCCCCAAAGCGCGTGGACTGACCTCTGATCTGAACCTGGCGGAGATAGATTATTTTGAGTTGATATCAGCGGTATCAGTATCAGGCTCGTGCCTGATTATCGAAAGTGTGGGTCCCCGGCTCCCCGGGCGTGAGGCGAAACTATTTTCCGATTGATATTTGAATTCCGGGAGCGTGCTTGCCCCCCCCCCCACCGTTTCCCGGTGTACGCACTTCGTGTTCCCTCTATAATGTAGCCTCTGCAAGAAAAGCAGATTCCACTTCAATTTTAAAAACAGCAATTAAGCAGTTGGAAATGCGTCTCGAAGTTCATGCTTAAATAGAGGATTTGCAGGTTTCTGAAATTTGATGAATTTCGTGTTAAAGTGGAAAACCCTGCGTGAATTGGACGCGAGGATAGCCTAAGTTCTTAAATTGAACAATTATTGGGGGAGATATGGCGAGGTGATCTAATCTGCTAAAGTACACGTGCTCAGATGAAAATCGTCATTAGATGGGAAATTTCCTCGCTTTCAAATCTATTGCTATATTATTTCCCCTATCAAAAAAAAAAAAAAAAAAAAAAAAAAAAAAAAAAAAAAAAAAAAATATGAAAACTACTGGGAAATTAGCTTTTCAAGCACCCTCAGATGGAACAATAAAAAAATTTGCTTGCGAATTCTCCCTTGCATTTATTTCCAGTCACTAGATTCTTCCCCGGGGTGTATTTGCCAAGATTTGATAGTCGAACTGATAACTGTTGCGTCCATGATTATCATCGATTACTGAAAATTCCGTGACGAGTGCAAATTTCAGAAAGCCCTCGAACAATCACTTTCTACTTTCACCTTTATTCTAATTTTTATATTATAATTTCCTTTTATTAAATGGAGTCAGCCGCTGCCTTTCGAAAAAAGAATAAACTATAATTTGCACATCACTAGACATAAATTGCATGAGCTGCTTTAAGAGCACGAACGTCAAAATATATAAGGAAAGTGATTTTTTTAAAAAAAAAATTATTTCTTCTCCTCCTTCTAGTACCTAATGAAGTCGTCAAATTCTGAATTGGGCTTATCTCACCGACCGACATTAAATAATTGATTCTGAATCTCCAGCATGAACAGCAGTCTCCAGCAGTGTCTGAGTGGCACTGTTCTCAGATTTCGCGCGATGTCAACGCCTGGGAATGAGAGAGGGAGCAACCCGCGCAACACTTACAGCACAACACTAACGAGGCTCTCTCTTCATTGTACCTGAGGCAAAAACCAAAAATCTGTGAACGTTTTCATCCGGTTTTTGAGGTTCGTTGGAATTCCATTCTATACTACGTGCGTTTCCGTGTCTCCATCAAGAAAACATTGACTTTCTCGAAGAAAAAGTTTGAAAAATCATAGGATTTTGCACATGATGTTGATTCATTTGACATTCATCGAAGATCACCAGAGCTCACATAGAGGAGACATGAGAGTATAAAGCGCCTTAAATTTCGTTTGCTGCAATTATGTATACAAATATGTGTTACATTCAGTTGTCGAAAAAAGCTCTCTTAATGGGTACCCTTAACTGGCGCATACATATTTTCCTTTTAAAGTTCGATCCTACACGGAAAAAAAAAGAATTGCTGATTCAGCAATTCAATTGCTAAAAACAGTGAGTGCAATGTTTCAACGCAGATTTTACAACAAAAAAATACTACTTTAACCACATTGTAAACTAATTTAACCAGGGGGTGGTTAAAGTAGCATTTTTTTTTTTGTAAAATCTGCGTTGGAACATTGCTCGTGAGGTCAGGGGCCCTGGTTGCCACAGTACCCCAGCGCCAGCTGTCCCAGCCGTGATCAGCACTTTTTAAAAGGGACGTGCAGGTTCTTCAATTTCTTTCAGTTGTTTATCCAATCGATTTTTCTCTAGCAATATTGTACAATTTTAATCTACATTATGAGACGCGTTTTGCCAGGCTTTGATCCGTAAAAGATGACAAGAATACTCGTCGTTGGAGGCGAGCACTGTCATTAAGGTTCGAATTCCGGTTCCGAGTGCGGCGCGCGTCTCTGAGCTGCTCTGCCGTGCCAAGTAAAAACGCCGTATGAGCCTTTAGGCGTTGCCAAATTTCCTTCCATAAATCACGAAATTATGGGAATATTTATGAACATTTTTCTTTCGATTTTTCAGAGAATTGCGTTCGTTATTTGATCCAAATAGTGTAAAAATTCCAAGAAAAAATATTGATAACTTTCCTAAAAAATAAGCATTTTATTGGAAGAAATTTGGCAACTCTCGAATGTTCATACGGCGTTTTTCCTTAGCACGGCAGTGCTGAGGCCCATTCTGCCAAAACGCCTCTGTTCCACGGTTCCACCGTCCACCGGCCACGGTTCCGGTTAGTCACCGTGGTGCCGCTCGTTACTGATCGCTGATCGCTTAATCAGTCATCTTAGGCTCCTAATTACCGTCAGCTAATTATTAACCCCCGAGCTTAGCTCCGTCTTAATTCTGCGTAACCTAAGTCCGTTTAAATGTTGAGAGATTGCATTCGGCAAAAAGGATCCGCTTTTTTAGGGGCGGATAATGGGACTGCTCGTTAGTAGGTAGGTAGAATTCTCCATAAGAGATCGTATTAATCCCTGCAGATGCGAACCTTTTGCCTGAGTCTGCTTCGCTTCTGAGAAATACGAAGCGGAATCAAATACCGATTAACTCTCTATTCGTAACAACGTGCTTTGGGGGGGGGGGGGTTAAAAATTGAATTTTTCCTCTGTGGCATGATTATGCAAATTTTCGTTTTTTTTTTTGTTTTTTTTTTAAGACTGATTTCCAAAAATTTAAAATTTTGAAAAACAATTTGATACTTTTTGTTTTTTATGCAGGCTACAGAATATACTAGTGTCCCCCAGAATCCAAGGTTCAAAATTAATTCATGTCGTAGAGAGTTAAGTATGCAGCTTTCTTTGAAGTGCGTAGAAACGAAGCAGATCCAACGAAAAACCGAGGGAAAAAGACTAGCCATGGTAGTAATAAAAGTGGTAAGGATACATTTATTTTTAAGAGGTGCTGACAGCTTAGGCCGTTTACATATTTGATTCAATTCTCACCGAGTTCGAGAGAAATGTGTCCATCGCTTACTGAATTTCGCGTTCAGCGTTTTGACTTTTTGGCCTAACAATATTTAAAAATTTCAAGGTTTCATGATGTAAAAATAGCGTAAAAGTAGATAAGGTCTTTAAAATCTTAGCAATTTAGGAGCCGTTCTAGAGCTTGATTATTGCCCAAGACGTGGTAGTTAAGAGACTTTATTGAATACTAGACGCAGCCCACATTTCAGAAGGGAAATATTAGAACATAATAAATTTTCACTAATACATTACCAGACTTTATTGTGCTATATTTTCGCCGTTGCACCTAGGAAGCACCTCAGTCTCTCCATTGCTACTGAGTTTTACCTGAAAGAGCCTCTCTCTACCAACGTCAAACGTCCTCCGCCTTAATTGGTTAAATTTAGCTCACAGTATTCTCCGACACACTGGTTGCATGCCTCAAATTTGAAGGCGATTTATGTTCCGCACCAAACTTTTATTCAGCACCGGTCACAAGAGAGGTGACGCTAAACACTAAACAGTGCGCACATGTGGGCAAAATTGTCTTCTTTCTAGATGATCGTGACACTGATCTTCCTACTGCCTATTCATGAATCGAAATATTTTGACATCATCTCATTTTCATGACTATGCTTTCGAATAGTTGCGAGAATGCTGGCACGAAGTCCGTGATGACTGGATCGCCATCGCCTCACCAAAAAATGACCAACTGTTAAATTTTTCAGAAATTATTGATATCCTCATGCATGAGCAATTGAGCATGCTCTTATGCATGTGTTCGTGCATTAGAGTGTAGTTAGCGAAACAAATGATCCCCGGAGCTCATTCCTCCCCCCAGTGTTTTTGAGTTTAAAGTTAGTGTTATTGAGTGAAGAGTTAAGTTGTTGAGTTTCAAGTTTAAGTCCATGTGTAATTGATGTTTTACCTCAACTTCAATATATTTTTCTTGAAAATACAAAAAATGTCCCTCATTTATTTCTTGAGATGAGCCAGTCGTAGTCTCTGCATTTATATACCAAGAAAGCATTGCTTTCCAAAAACAATTCGGGATTAGTGGTGAGTGACGTGTTGTAAGTTAAAGTTTGCCATTACTTACTGAGAGGTAAAATTACTGATTACGAATGAAAGAAAAAATCCACTAATTAATAAATATTGGTGTGAAGAGTATGATTTCTGGCCTACCTCAAATATTGAAGGCGTAACAAAAATTTTAAATGTGTGAAGCCTCCAAACTTCGTTCATAACGGTATAGCTTCCTCTAAATTTTCAGATTGAGGTCCTTTACTTATGGACAGCCCAGGCCCGCCACAAGGGGGGGGGGGGATACTGGGTCCTTGGTACCGGGGCCCGGGCCCTGGAGGGGCCCGTGACGCAGGTGAGAAACCACTACGAAGTCATGTGTAACCCTTGTCTCGTAAGGAAAAGTGAAAAAATTACCCTAAAAATTCCGCAAAAGGTGAATAAAGTTTCAAAATCACGCTAGGGCACTATAAAAATTTTCTTACTTTTTTACAGATTTCTATCTATTTGCAAGATTTTGAGTATATGTAGAATGATATTTTTAGTAACTGCGTTTCATTTTCTCTCGTTGTCGGATGCTAAGAGGCTCCTGTCTGGGCATCCTCGACTTCAATGGCTCAACTCCCTTGCCATAGACGTACGAAAGGGGAGTCCATGGGGGCCCGGCTCCTCCTAGAATTGAAAAGGATCATCAAATCTGCCCCCCTCAAAAAAAAATTTATAGATGTTTTGAATGCAACATTTCAAAATTATTTGGCGCTGAAAGTAAGAAAAAGGCGTAATTATTCTGCAGAAATTGATGGAAAATCTCCATTATAAGAGCTTCAAAATGCGTCCAAATAGATTTAAAATTTCAAAAATTTCCCGGGGGAGGCCCCCCGGACCCCCTCTGTGCTAGAGGCCCGGGCCAGAAAACTGGTACCAGGGCCCGAGATGGGATGTGGCGGGCCTGGGACAGCCCTACGACACAGTACGTCTGCAGAAAAAATTTAGTAATTATTTGGTCAAAGAAAGTAAAATGGCTGACTCTCTCTTTGCAGGGAACGCGTATTCCGAATCGTTGCGATGTTACCCAGACCTATGACAGAAGTTGACTATTAGTTGAAGCAACTTACTGCTTCGAAAAAGAAAATGTATTACCTTTCACTGGATTAAAAAACACATTGGATCTAGAGTCCAGACTCTCGAAAACATTGACAAGAAAAAATACTCTTGATTCAATCAGATTTTTTCTTAAATCAAGAGGAATTCCGCTCAAATTAAGAGGCTTGGTTCTTGATTTAAGCTAAAATCCGATTGAATCCAGAGTATTTTTTCTTGTCGATGTTTTTAAGAGTCCGGACTTTAGATCCAATGTGTTTTTTTTCCCAGTGTTTAATAAAATCTCATCAATCTGTTTAGTCAAAAAGTGTTTAGTTAACTCTTTTTTGAGCATGAAAAAAAATATTTACTTCTACAATGAAATTTTTTGATCATCCTGGATGCTTCTTTTTAATACCTACGACGAGCTCATACTGCATCCTTTCTCGCTCTTTATTCTTTGTCTCTTTTTTCCCTCCTTCTCATCCCTCTTACTTTATTTTGGGGGGCTTGAGCCCCCCCCCCCCTGGCTACGTGCCAGCTCCGTGAGGGTTGCCTGTGCCCTTAGCTCGACCACACAATTTTGATCGCTCAAGCCGCCCTTCCACGAAAAATGCATCAAAACCAACGCCACCCGAAAAGAATCGAATGCTTGGCGGTGGGAGCGATACGCACTGGGCGAGCTTTGGACGTGGAGTCCGCGGTGGGAAGGCAGGAGCAGGTAGTGCAGCGATGCGCCAAATGATTAATGTATGAATAATTGCCTCTGGAGGGGGGGCCCGGGGCCTAAGTGCAGAAGCGGGGTGATTCGGCGGCGGGGTGGGGGATTGTTTACGATCCGCGGTGGTGGCGCTAGCGTCAGGCGGCGCACGGAGCGGGAGAAGGCGACGGCGCAGCGGTAGTGGCTCCGAATCGTTTGTTGAATGGGGACTCGCGGCTCGGCCGATTTCAACACTCGTCGCAACCAGTCGTATCGCGCGCCTCCAGTGCTCCGCATCTCCTCGCCGCTACGTTGCGCAAAGCGCCGTCCCGACACGTGCTTTTGTTTACCTCTCGCCACCGAGTCTTCTCCGCGCTCAGTTCTGTGATCCGAAAATGTTTCTGTGACGGGTGTGAATTTCGCCTTTGGAGTAGCTCGAAAGCGGAGTAAAAATGGACTCGCCGCAGATGTACGACACGCCCGCGCAAACGGCCGCCACGAACGGCACCAACGGGACGGGCAACGGGAGTCTGACGGCCCAGGAGATCGTCAACATGAAGAACCACCAGAAGAACATCAACCTCCACCAGCTGAAGCGATACAACGACCTGGCCGACTTGAACACGCCGGAAATTTCGTTGGATCTACAGAACCTGATCGACGATAGTCAGTTCAACGAGGGCCTCTTCACCGAGATCCTAAACCAAGGGAATTCGAGACAATTGCAGATTAGTAAAACCCACGTGCAGCAACAGTTCCAAACGAGTCGGGGGCCCCAGTCAACGACGGCCCTCCACTACCTACCCCAGCCCGTCCACTACGAGGCGGCCACCCCCGGGACGGGGGGACACATCAAGGAGGAGCCCCCGGAGACCCCCGAATTCAGGAACGTGGTCCCTTCGGCGAACCCTGCCTACTCGGTCGTCAACGGGACGGCGCCGCAGTTCACGCCCGCCGGGGTCAATCACCTGAACCTCAAACACCACCATCACCACAGTCACCGGAAAAGCTCCAAGTCGGTGGATAAGAACACGGACGAGTACAAGAGGCGGCGGGAGAGGAATAACATAGCCGTCCGGAAGTCCAGGGAGAAGGCCAAGATCCGCTCCCGGGAGACGGAGGAAAAAGTTAAAATTCTAGTGAAAGAAAACGAACGCTTGCAGAAGCGAATCGAACTCTTAACCGAGGAATTAAACGTTCTAAGATCTTTATTTACCAATGTAGGAGTGTTACCAGAACATCTACACCGGGAGCTGAACAAACATTTCGATACCTATCCTCACCACGGTGTTCAGTAGTATCCGCAAGTGATCCTTCTCCTCAACCATTTGTGCTTGTGATCGTTGTTTTTTCTCTCCCTTTTTTACTATTTAAATGTAATTTGAAACTGATTTTGAAATTATTTTTTTGAATTGTTACGGATACCAGTCATTTCCTGTTTTGTTTTCCGTTTCCTCTTTCCGGGACCGAAGATTTTGAGACGTGCATGTGAAAGTGCTCGGTGACACGATGGATATGTAAACGGATGTGTGCTCGCGCGCGTTTCCTGGCCGTCGTTATGTCTGTCTCTTGGATTATTCATGGATTTTTGGACCCGATCGCAGCTTCTCCGCTCGGAAAAACCGTAAATTTACACTCATTTTACTCTCTGTCAAGCCTTATCAATCTATCCTCTTCACTCCTTCCTCTCTGACTCGATTAAATGTTAAAAATTGAAATTCCTTTTTTCTAGATGATCTCGCTTCAGTTCTGGTGTACTAAGTGGGATGTTTTTGGCCGGAAGTTAGCTCCGATTGTACTCTTGATCAACTTTTCCCCCGATCCCTTTAATTTAGCTTTAAACTAGGAGTAATACAAGTACTTAACATGTTACTTTCATTAAGTCATTTTTTTTAAGTCTAGGTTAGGGTGGGGAAACTTTATTTTTTGTACAATAATTGGAAGGAAATCCAAGAGGAATAGCTTCCACTCAAGACTCGGTGTAATTTTCCCTCCTAATTAAGTTGGATTTTAATTCTGTAATCCGGGATTCTACGATTGTCATTAAAGTGAGAAACGAATTTACCATTCAAAAATCAATTAAGGGGACATATTTTTCTTTCCATTGTTACCGTTTCTATCATTTTTTAAAACATTTTCTGTAGAGAAGTATTTTTCAGCGGTTCCGTACAGATAATGTCTCGTAAAATTTCAAGCGTTAGTGTTCCTACTTCCACAAACCGGTTCAGCTTAAATTCTGCGTTCGGTTTGGCAACTAGGCTACATGCACGAATCAACTTTTGGTTCTTCTTCAGCTATAAGACCTACATTCAGAATGCCTCTGAATCTGAGGCGAATACTTACAGAGCTAACTTTATGCCCGAAAAAAGCATATTTTCAGTTTTAAGTTTTTTTCTAAAAATAACACCGTTCGAAGCTACTCCTTCCCATAGAGATTAGAAATGAAGATGAGTTGTTTGAAATTTGTGGCAGTAGTTCAGTTGGAACTAGTCGAAATTTGGCTTACAACCAATTTTCGAAGTTACAATTGCCACAAATCATGTGAGGATGTGTGTGCGCGCNGGGGGGGGGGGGGGGTTGTCTTCGATTTTCCATCGTATCTCCGATCATCCCACCCCCTCCCACGTTTTCAGCTCCCCCTCAACATTGGGTTGTCCTCGTGTTAATGTCGGTAATCAACTCATTTTCTTTCGTAAATAATGATAAATCATAATTTGCCTGTTTTTCCCCCAAGAAATGTTAATAAAGTGGAAAAAAAAGTGGGAACAAATACACACAACTCTAGAGGTGCAGCTATGATGAGGGAAAAATTAGTAAGCCGAAAAGTGTTTTTCTGTGGCGTAAATTAGGCTCTGAATGTACGCTTTAAATTAATTTGTGGACATCCCATGTTCTTTGTTGTCCAAGCTTGCCATAATTAGACCCTCGTGTCTAAATAACCTGAAGGTTTAAAAATTTCCTTTCGTCTGAAGTGACCCAAGAGAATCAATTTTACGTACAAGGAACTGTCATATTATCAGCTTCATCCATTTTTTTCATTGCTCTTTTTTCCATAGTGGGCAAAGGTCAACCTTTGGCAGCCAATTATGTTAGAATCAATAAAAACGAATAATTAATAACTAATTTTACTAAGTTTATTAAGTTACAAGAAGGACGCAGTTTACTCTCAATTTTACATTTACAATTGTTTATGCCCCCGACATGTAAGATTTATGCCCCCTGTACGTGCGTCCTCTAGTGTCCCCTTTTTCATCGCCAGTGCATCAGATTCGATATTTCCAGTAGCGAAGCATGAATGATCGATTATCGATATTTCCCCATTTGAAGCCATGGTAAAGAATCGATTGTGAAGGTGTTCGTCGCGAACACCCTGTTCGTCGATCTAATTCCGTAGTTTTGAATGGCAGATCAATCGATATATCGCAAAGCACGCCACGCCACTGGATATTTCTCACGAAGAAGGAGTGAGAAGGAGGAGAAAATTCAAAAACTAGTTAACAAAAAGCTCCCTGTCAACAATCCTCAGCCGCACCACTTGCGCATGGTCTACTTTTTTCAGTCGCCTATCGGTAATTATTTCGCCGAGTTTTCAATTTGACAGGTCGCAGGCCGTGATTTGATCGACTTCGACGTGATGTTTTGCTTGGTGTACCAGGAAGTTGACTTTTTTGGACTTTCTATGATGAGAAACCAATGTATAGATTCGTAGAGTTCAGATCCACACGATTGAACTTTTTGAAAGTTTTCCTGACACCAGTAAGCTTTTTTCCGTCTTTCTTAACTAGTCGTTGAACTTTCTCTCTCTTTTTTCCAGTGGCATGGCGTCCTGTGCGATGAATCGATTGATTTGCCAATTGAACACATGGTAAAGAATCGATTATCACTGATCGATTTTTTGCCATAGTTTTAAGGGTTATAATATCGATATTCGAAGATTCACGCCGCGCCACTGCTTTTTTCCGATCACTGAATCTAATTTAATGTATCCCTCTACGTTACGTTGCCCCTCAACATTCGTCTTTGACTGGGTTGTTTGATCCTTGCTCGCCATGGAAAAAGTTATATATTTTTCGCCCCGTCACTGTCTCTTACAATTTGAAGAGTCCAACTCTTGAAAGTAAGAGACAACGCAAGTTACCGGAACGTATAGAGCGTCTGCGCGCTAGGAAAGAAAGAAAGTTCTTACAAATGAAAGACCATTTTCAGTACCTGAAAAATTCTTCTCGAGCACTGTGTTGTTATTTGCTTTTGTACGTCAAGTATCACTTTTTCATAATTAGACGCTTTTTTATCAAGTTTTACCATATGGTGTTTTTTAGAATTTTTTTCTCTCCATGTATAAACAGGTTTCATAAAAATTTTAACATTCCGATGTTGTTTCTGTACACCTACGTGCACAAGTTTCTTACCGAATCAGTACAGGACTCTTTTTCTATTTTTTACAGTTATAAAATTGTTGTTTTTAGCAGTCTTGACTAACTTTTAAAGCAGTCAACTCAGAAAAACATGAAAATCCTTTTTTTATGTTTGGGAAATCTTCAAGGCGCACTCTCCTGATTTGAGATTTTGGCCTGATCCACTCGATGATAATAATTTGCATAGTTGTATACATACAATCATTGATAACTTTTTATTAGTCTAGGAAGGATTTCTCTGGATTTAATAGTTTGGACAATTTTTAAGGAGGAAGTCATTTGATACGTTTTAGTACTTCACAATGCTCTCCAAATTCACACCAGAGGAATTCTCTGGATGTAATCCTTGGGACAATTTTCGAAAATCTTTTAATGAAACCTTCACTCATTTTTTGATATCGATAAGCTGTTTTCCAATCCAGGGTAGGAGCAAATTCTTTCATTTCTTCCTCAGACAGATGAATTTTCGAAAATTCATCTGCCTGAAGAAGAAATGGAAGAATATGCTCCTCTCCTGGATTTGAAAACAGCTTGTCGTTATCATAAAATGAGCGAAGGTTTCATTAAAAGATCCTCGAAAATTGTCCAAAAGATTACATCCAGAGAATTCCTCTCTACAAAGCTCTCGATGATCGCATCTCAGATTATATTTTTTGTGTGCAAAGGCTCCATTCTTTCCATGTTTGCTGCATTCACTTCCCGAGGTGTTCAGACAGCGATATGGCAACAGAAGGGAAAGTAATTATCTCACTTGTGTGATGCATTCCTTCCATCCGCCGACCTTGCCAGATGACGGCATAGCGGTCAGCTGTTGTGATCATGACGATACGTCATAAGTATTACGATCCCGTTCGCGAATCTGGAGAAAGGTTCGAGGAATACATTCTGAACGACTGAGAACGGTCATTCTGCCATTACCTCTTCCTTCTAAAATCACCATTCACCCTCTGAACTTAAATCGAGTTCATCCAAGGGGAGCCGTCCCATCCCTTTTTCTCAGTCACTGCTCAAATAATTTCCATATCCTAATTTTGTACGCCACGAACAGATATGTCTCGGATTTTTTTTTTTTTTTTCTTTTTTTTTTTCCTTTTTTTTTACAGACAACTTTGAAGGGCTCTAAGAGCTTGGTTTTAAGTCAGTCGCAAAAGTCGGTTAAAGAGAAAAGAACAGCCTTTGAGAAATTTTCTTGGCCCCATTGGATCAAGTAGTGGTAGAATAAAGCTATTTTTACGAGGTGCCTTGCGTAAGGTTCAAAGAGGGCACGAAAATGAGTCAATAATGGTGTGTAAATTCTGAAAAAAAAAACGACTTTTGCGATTTTTCAAACTTAAAGGAAAGAATTTCATGAACTGCCCACCCTTAAGTAGGTTTTTATCAATGTTTCATCGTAAAATTTGAAGGGCAGGGGCGAATTTCGGGTTAAACTGTGACAACTATGTATTTGATGAATTCGGAAAACCTTTTTCTTCAATATTTCCATACTTTTACCCAGGGTGAAAAAAATATGTGCTGCCTCTTCTTACATCCCAATTAATCGATCCGAAATCTGAACCTTTTGCAGCCTCTCATTAGTCAACCTTTTAAAATCGGACCACAAATGACAGCGATTTGCCGTGTATTTAAACGGCAGCGGCGCTTGGCGATTCTCTTTTTTGCTCCTCAGTCTATGGGATATGATATTCTGACGTCTATCCCGTCAGATCTATCTTTATCGATCCCAAGATGAAAGAGCTGAACACGCTCTGTTGATCGTCATGTCGAGCGATACTAATTGACTAGGTTTCTGAAGTACTTCTCTATGAGTCGATGGAAAAATGCGGAAATACTTGACCTTGCAAACAGGCCACTTGAGACTCGTGAAAATTCTATATCCGTAGCACTAATACGCACATTTTGTTTTTCTCGGAAATCTTCTAGCAGTTAGGAAGTTTAGAAAATGTTATAATTAAGTTAAAATACAATTTTGATGAATCTTTAACACCAAGATAAAATAAATAAGTAATGAGGCTTTTTATGAACCTTATCACACCTTTGTACCACAATGTCATCCGCGAGCGCAATACTGCTGCTGTGATATTTTGCTGCTATTCATCCACAATAACGTTTGTGACTACTTTTGCAGCCGGTCTCATTATGCGATGAATGTGGGAAGGATTTTTGTTGCCTTTAGAGAGGAATGGAAAAAATTGAATTTTTTTAAGATGAATTTTACATTCTTTTTGAATGACTGTCATACGCAATCAAATGCGTTTTTGCATAATCGTGCCCCTCACACCAGTTCATCAATGGAGACAAATTCTCGCGTTCGAAAACCATTTTTTTCTGTTAGTGGGAGCTATACTTTAAGGTGTGCAAAAGCTCTGAAGGGATTTTCAGTCGTCGAAACACACCCGGTCACTAAATTTTAGAAACGGAGTAGGTATGTCGATTCTCCTGCGACTTCTAAGATTTCGAGTGATTGTTCTGGCGAGCTTATTGTGTCCTTATCGGCATGCGCGTTATTTGGACGTATTTCTGCCAAACGGAACTGTGTGAATAGAGACATGAGCCCTGAGATCCATAAGAATATATGCATAACAGGGCACAAGTCATGATGCACATAGTTCCGTTTGGCAGAAATACGTCCATTTCGGGTGCCGAACTGCACCTGCACTATAACGTCTACCTCTTTCCACCGGCTATGAGTAATTTCAATTCGGGAAAGGCGTCATCTTGATTTTTCCGATCGATTGTAAATCAATGTAACAGAATGGAAGATTCTCAGTTAGCATGGTTAATATTTTTCCCAAGTCGGTCATATGCTCAGGCACCCGCTCAAATCTCAACTATTCCAATGCGTCTTGTAGGTTTCATTTCCGCAAACAAAAATTTCCGGTTCAACAAGGAAAAAATCTGTCTGGTACACTTCGGTAATACTCTGTGCATCGTAGGTACACCTTTTTGTCCAAAAATACTTTTAAATGTAATGCATTAAAAAGTTCAGGTCTCTGAGGGTGACCGCTCGAGCAATGATTGTAAACCCTCGTTCTTGTAATGTATTTTTGTATTCTCCTGGAATTAAAACCAAATCTGTCATGCTTTAAATATTATTTTTGTAGAATTTATTTTTTCATAATTTTTACTTTTTAATACTTTA